GCCCAGCGGCGCCGGATTTTCCCGGACATGTTCGGCTTTTTGGGATTTCCCCCCGGACGGGGATTTGAATCCCAAAAAGCCGGACATGCCCGGGAAAATCCGGACGTATGGTAACCCTAAGCTAACTGTACAAATAAAACACTGATAAATAAATTGGCTTGTTTGGCTTTCTTTTTTATCAGCTGTCTCCATTCTCTGTGTAATGTGCCTACTGCAATGCTTGCATGCTTTGCCAGTTTTAATCCTGTTGGATTAGCATTTACTGGTTCTCTTAGTAACAAAGTTACACTAATCGTCCAAGAATTTGTTGAACAAAAAAAGCAGACTGCCTAGAAAAGAATCAGCATCCCAGTTCATGCATTTCCCCCCCAGAACACTGCACAAGTCAAAAGAAGGCGTCTCATGAGCTAGGGACTTTTTATAGAGTTAAGAAGGCTCAGGCTCTGCTCCAGCAGAGATTTATACACCTGCTTAACTTGACACGCTGCAGGTCATTCCATTGACTTAAATGAGAGTGCTAATCATGTGCATTTGGTTTTGCAAGATCAGGGCTTTACATTTGAATTTCTTTGAAAAACCACTGCCTGGCACAAATACATTTTAAAAAATATTACCAAAACCTCAGCCCTTTCTTTCTAGCTCTCCAGGTTACCTTTTCAGGTGTCACCCCACTAATGATCCATTCATATTAGTGGGAGGTTAGAGTTAGGATGACCAGACAGCAAATATGAAAAATCGGGACGGGGGTGGGGGATAATAGGAGCCTATATAAGAAAAAGACCCAAAAATCGGAACTGTCCCTATAAAATCGGGACATCTGGTCACCCTCTTTAGAGTGTTTGTCAGCACAGCAGGTGCTTTCTGTTGGATGTATATACAGCACTTGTCAGGAGTTGAATCTTTCTTACATTTTCTATATTTTTCATTTGTTTTATTAAGGCTATGGGGTTTGCGTGTAAATACAAGCTCTCTCTTTCCTAATCATCATTTTTCTTTTGCCCGCCTTTATTCAGCAAAGGTATAATCTATTTGATTGCGATTAGAGTGGGTTTAACATATCAGTGACTGCTATAACATATATATAAGACCAACGTTGGTTTTTAAATCAATGGACCCTCATGTTTTAATCATGAAAGATCACTGACACTCTGCGTTAACCCCTGTTCAGATACCATCATATCCACTATACAGAAACCGTTTTTTGAGAAGTTGTTTTCTCGGTACTCATTGTGACTCGTGCATCTTCTGTGTACATCAGTTATCATCTAGACACCAGATGCATTGTAGAAATTGTGGGATCCCTCTCTAAATATTTTTTTTTTCATTTCTCTAGTCCTAATTCAGTTGAACATTTTGGAAAAAAAAATATTTCCAAAAATAATGTAATACATTTAAGGCTGGGATTTTCAAAAAGGCCTCAGGTAGCAAGATGCCTGACCCCTATTAGCTTGTAGAAAAATATCTGGGTTGCACTTGGCTAAGCTTAGTGTTTCATTTGTTGTTTTTTGTGCTGTAAAAGGCATTGATAGATGCCTTAAACGTAATAAATAAAAAAAGAAAATTTGGTCATCAAAATGCCCTTGCAGCACACAGCAAGAAGTAAAAGCAGCATGATACTAAGCAATGAAAAATATTTCAGTTTTTAAGTTTGTTGGACCGATTATATTGACCGCGCATAATGGGGCTGACTCAGCTTGCACAGAATTCATTGGAAAGATTCCCAGTAACTCGAGTGGGATTTGGATTAGGCCCAGTCTGACATGGTTTACATTGTATTGATAACTGAATATTAAATATTTTGAGAAAACAGAACATGACATTTTATTCTTTATGATTTTGGGGCAGGCATGGATCTATCAAAGTGGCAGATTTCAAATCAAGCTGGAGGAATGGACTGGCTTTTTTAGCTATCATCCATGCCTTAAGACCAGATTTAGTTGACATGGACAGAGCAAAGGGTAGAGCCAACAAAGAAAATTTGAAGGAGGCTTTTAAAATTGCAGAACATGAATTAAATATTCCAAGACTTCTTGAACCTGAAGGTAAATGATCTATTTTGCATATACTTGGTATATGGTCTGATGCTGATACTGTCAAACCAAGGTCCGTTTATAACAAAGGATACGTCTACACTGTGAAAAAAACCTGTGGCAGCAAGTTCCAAAGCTTGGGTCAACTGACTTAGGCTCAGGGCTCACGCTATGGGCTAAAACTAGCAGCATAGACATTCCCACTCAGGCTAAAGCCCTGTGACAGGAGTGGGTTTCAGATCCTGGGCTCCAGCCTAAGTGGGCTGCTATTTTTAGCTCTGTAGCACAAGCCCAAGTCAGTTGAGCTAGAGTCTGAGACTTGCTGTTGGGGGTTTCTTTTGCAGTGTACATGTACCTAAATAGAATTTTTAATATTTAATCACTGTGATGATTGGGGTGTAAAATGAAATACTGATCTTTATGATAAAAGTAAGAATGCTCTAACCTGAGATTCGTTGCAGAATAGTTCATAGGGAACCTGAACTAATAGAAGTTTTGACTTGGCAACAATTACAGGAACATCCTTTAGAAGAAAGAATATAAAGCTGCATGATGATGATGTTAACAATTGCCCACTTCTTTTCTAATTTGCTGTTTTCTATTACAATATTCCTGAGGAAAAAAATCAATTTAATACTGTTTTTCTCAGTGAAATTTTAACTGAAATGCTGAAAATAAATTTATTTGTAATTGGTAAATTTTCATGATTGTTCTGTAGAATATAGTTGTACAATCAAACTGAGAAATATGCAGGAATGATCTAATAGTGTGCTACCTCTCACAGATGTCGATGTTATCAGTCCAGATGAAAAATCTATCATGACTTATGTGGCTCAGTTTCTGCAGTATTCCAGAAGTTTACCTGTGGCTGAAGAAGACATGCAGGTATGTCATTTCTTTTATCATTGAACCAAGCCAAATGAGTGTACTTTTTGCTTTTCATAACTCTGACTGAGAATTTCAACACCTCCTTTGCAAAGCCTGTAGCATGATTCAGTAACATAGTTATAAAACATGGCGTGATCTTGTCTACAATGACACAACTGAGCTTATTCTAACCTTGGATGTCCCTATCTTATTGTAACCAAAATCCCCAACATGGTAGATTTTTTTAATAGTGTAGACAGAAACTTTGTCGCAAAGTTCACTTTTTTGTTAGTTAAGATGTCCATAAGTATTCCAGCCAACATTTGCAGACCTGGTTGCCTAAATACAAGCTCCCAAATTTATAGCGAGGTACCCAGATAGAAGTAGACTGATTTTCCAAAGTGCTGAGCAACCCCAGATCCTTCTTGTTAGAAGCTGATATAAAGAGCAGCCAGAGAAAGCCATTTGGAGGGCACAGCAAGAATTCTATTGGGTCTACAAAACCCAGGATGTATGCTGTATGTTCTTGAATGCCATCTACTGGCACCTTTATCTATTAACCAACTATTTACATATGATAGAATGTTCCTGTAACACCCTGAAGTCTGGCTACTTGTTTCAAGCTGCCTTACTGTATTCAGGAAACTAACTTCTGGCACCAGGTTTGAAGATTTTGGCTTTCATCTATTTGTAGAGCCTGATCCAAAACTCATTAAATCACTGGAAGTCTTTTCATTGATTTCAATGAGCTTTGGAACAGACCTTTAGTGAGTGGGAAGGCTTCACTAGTGTGTTGTTTTATGGCACAATGCAAACTAAAAATAAGACTTGCAGAATGCAAAAATGGAATTTTCTGCTCCAATTACCAGGGAAAAGTAAAAGAGGCCTTGAGCTGGCTGACCACACAAGAGAAGAAGTTAACAAAGTTGTTGGTTGATACAGAAAATGAAACATGCTATAGAAAATTTCAAGTAAGTAGCATTTACATGACATTTTTGAATATGATAGTATTTGCAAAGAGAAATATTAAAATAAGCTCCCCAAAAGTAGCTTTTCATGTTATTGTCCAATTTGAGGATTTAAATTTAACAACAACAACAACAAATCACAGATCTGTCACTGGATTTGGTAAATAAAGCAAAGTCACCGAGGAAGGGTTAAGATAAAATTCCCTCTCCAGAAGGAATGCAGATATATGCTTCTCAGTTACTATGGTGATAATATTGTAGGTCTCACACCAGTTTGTTGTCACTGAAGGGTTGCTGGAAATGTTGGCTGCTACTCATGCCTTAGGGGAATGGCTTCCTCCATTTGTACAGCCCAGGTAACCGAGTATGTAGAAGGGAGATTTATGGGGCCATTAGAGAAGTAATTATCCCCTTCCCCACACAGTGAGTGCTATTGCAGCTTCAATGCTGCAGCAACCCCTAATGGGTGTTGCACTCTGCCCTCTTTAGGAGCAGGGGAAGAATGGCCAGTGGATCCACATACTGCACTGGCCCTAGCCTGCCCCCAAACCCATCATCCATCAAGGAGACCCCATGGAGCTATACTTCTGTAAGAGTATGGGACTTGCAGTCCCTATGCAGTGCTTTCCCTTGCTAGTGGTTCTGCTGAGTCCAGGGCCCTCTACACTAATAGTGGGGTGATAGTCACAATTTGCCCGAGAGAACATGAACCCATACAAAGTCTGACTGAAAACAAGTGATTGAATATAATAATAGGCAGGGAGGAGTGTTTTCTTCTCTTCCTCTTATTTAAGTTCCATGCAGAGTCAGGCAGGCTGGATTTACTCTTATGTTCCGCAGCTGGTCTGACTTCCCTCTTGACAGTCTATGCATTGACAGCCAAAATGCAAAAGTAATTGATTTTAAAATGTCCCCCCCCAACCTGTGTGGCACACTTAGGCTTTGTATCTAACATGTAATAGCCTTCTCTCCTTCAAGTTCCCCATGTTGACTATGCCTAGTCTCAGACAAGATATTTTTCTCAGTACAGTTGAATAGTTATAGCACTAGAAAAAGTTAGAGCTATTACTGTGCATTTGCTTGGGAATAATGTATTAATATGATATTAAATAAAGATTCAGCTATAGTGTTATATTGTAAGGCCCAGATACTGCCGTTAGATGATTGTGCCTGATTCCCATTGACCTCAGTGGTTTTATTATTCCATCATTCCTTATCTGGAACACCAACTGAAGTAAATGGGAGCCAGAAATTCACTTCCAACAGTAATATCTGGTTTTAGGAATTATTACATGTGGTAGTTTTCCACTATAGATTGCCTTTCCATTTTAACCCTAGGAAATGCTGTCATTTATGGAATTGTTTAATGAAGAGAAAAGACCCTTTCTGCCAGTGTTGTCTTCAAAAAGAAGTGTGCCTGAGCTAAATGAAGATCTGAAATGGATGAGAGCAGCATGGGATAACCTAACCTCCCAGGTTACAGAAGTATTTCTAGTTGCTGTTTATGTTGTTAATGTGAACACATTCTATGAAGAGGATAAAACTCACCCCAGGAATTTATACTGTAGTATAATTATGTTCCTCCTTTTTTGGGGAGGGGGAGGAATCACTATACTTAGATATTGGCCGCCATCCTGAGGTCCAGTTGAGCTGGGCCTGGTGTGCAGGGCTCCAAAGGTGTGGGGGAGAAATTGAGAGTTTGGGGGTGGAGGAGGGTGGCTCTCTTTATGCCTATCTGATCCTAGGGCTGCTAGCAGCATGCAAAGTATGATCTCGATCTGATTGTCCTCTGAGCTTGGCAGCGTTCAGATGCAGAGTTTTGGGCCGATCTCTGCTTAAAATGTTCGGTTTGACATAATTAGCGCTACAATAATGAGGCAGCAGAGAAAAGAGTGAGCAATAGAGTCAGCAGCTGACTAGACATTTTTTTCCATGGCATGGGTGGCCTTCCTGCACTCTCCAACTCTGCCATAGCAGTACTGTTAATCCCATTGAATAGTGCTTTGTAACGAGCTTGCTCATGTCAACTGTCCCTGAACTAAGGCTTGGAATGGCTAGGGTTGATACTACCAAGTATCTCTCTGCTTGATAAGTGGCCAGTGTGGATCAGACATTTTTGGTCCACACTGATGGAAAGACAGTCAGAGCACGTTACTCATGATAGAAGTCATCCGTCATCTAACATTGGGTAGATTTCCCTGTGACAAAACTTTGTTAGTCATTGTATAGCGACAAAAAATGCTCAATTCCCTGTAGCACCAAGAAGATTGCAAGCAGGGGAGCTAATTCTGACCTTGGATGCACCCAAATGACTCCCATTTGACTGCTGTGGGAACTGCCTGCTTGCTACTGAGCGCAAAATTTGTCTGTGAGGTAGTTAGAACGTCAGATTAACAAGTATTATATATAATAATCTTGCTAATCCCCTGAGAATAGGGTAAGAAACAAAGAGAGAGATTTTACCATTGACATGTATTTGTCTTTTAGATTAATGAATGGAAAACAAAGCTGGACCGTGCACTACCCCCACCGCTAGACAGCATCGAGGTCTGGCTCCAAGAGGTAGAACATCTGCTGGCAGAAGGTTTACCTGATTCGCAGGATCACTGTAAAGCAATGGCCCTCTTCAAAGAAAAAATTATCTTATTTAAGGTTTGTTAAATAAAAAAAGACTTGTTAAATCTGACCCACTAAAGCACCTACTATGGAAGTGATGTTAGTTTTTGGGAGGGAATGTGGTTACTGGATTGATTGATTTCTTTTGGAGAATATATGTACTTCTAAAGATGCCTTTGGTAGCAGCTGTTGATTTTGAACAATGGCAGGGTAACCAGATAAGTACAGAGTTTTGTAGGAAAGTTTTATGACTTCATGGGGGTGAGATGTAAGAGAAAGCCTTGGTAGAGTGAGTAAATTAATGTATTTTGATCATATTAACACAGGGGTGGTCAAACTACAGCCTGTGGGCCACATCTGGCCTGTCAGCCATTTTAAGCTGGCCCTCGAGCTCTCACTGGGGAGCAGGGTCTGGAGCTTGCCCCACTCCGGCGCTCCAGATGGAGAGCAGGGTCGGGGGCCGCTCCATGTGGCTCCCAGAAGCAGTGGCATGGCCCCCCTCTGGCTCCTACGCATAGGGGCAGCCAGGGGGCTCCGCTCTGCACGGTTCCTCTGCCCCAAGCGCCACACCCATAGCTCCCATTTGCTGGGAACTGCAGCCAATGGGAGCTGCAGGGGCGGTGCCTGCAGATGGGGCAGCATGCAGAGCTGCCTGGCTGTGCCTTCGCATAGGAGTCGGAGAAGGGACATGCCGCTGCTTCCGGGAACTGCTTGAGGCAACCTTAATTTGTCCCCATTGTACATATACATTATAATAGTCTTTAATTACATGATTAATTCTAACATATTGTAATTATAACTGTGCCCTTCATCTGTGACACACACTTTTTATCACCTGCAATTCCCAGGTGGCATCAGTATTTAATAGTAGTTTACAGGAATGCTGCATTCCATATTGTGATCAGTAATATTCATATGGGAATGTTGTGCAGTACTCTGAGGCTTTCTATGTGGGTACTTTGTATGTTCAATTTGTTGCTTTTGGCAACTGGCACCTGTGATATGTTCCCATTAGATTTGCAGCAAAAATTCCAACTTCTGCCATCAAAAGGTTAATATATTATCAATGGGATAAATGTTTTTTTAAATTGTGATTTTACAGTATCAGACAATTAACTAAAGATATTTATTTACAAGGTCTTGCTGTCAATCTAACGTGGCAAAGGAAGAGCTTCATACTTTGAAAAGATGTAATACTGCACTACAGTATGTGGAGAGGGTGTCTTTAAAAGTAAACAAACACTGGTAGTATTGACTTAATGCAATATTATATATAGAGAGAGTGGTGAGGTATGCTGTGGTAAATACTCACATTTGGGGGTAATGTAGGAAATGCATTTATACTGTACTGAATAAAAACTGAAGTGAGATCCTGTGGTAGATGTATTTTCTTAATAGCTCCCACTGTAATATGGGAGTGGATTGCATATTCCCAAATACAATACTTAGCAGTGAAATATCTTAATTATAATATTTTTTTCCAGGGCTTGATGGATTATTTTGACTGTCACTTGGTCAGCCTTCAATCCTTTGAGAATAAAGATGAGAAGGATATGCCACTGGTACCAACTGAGAAGCTAGATGACATGAAAAGAAGGTTGCAATTCTCAGATTTACCCTGTTGGGCACCTGAGTTGACTAAATTCATATTAAGTTAAATTATTATTTTTAGCAAGCTTAGCACCATTATGGAAAAACACTCCAATTACTTGTTTTCTGTGTTCAGTTGTTGTGCACTTAGATGGCACAAGCATAAATGGTCTGTTCCCAACTCTGCAACTGACTTGCTGCATGATCTTTTCCTATCACTTCTCTGTGCCTGTTTCCCCATCTGTAAAATAAGGATAATGATACTTACCCATCTTTTAAAATCATGTGCAGATCTACAGATGAAAGCACTATAAGTACAAAGTATTATTAAATAATTAAAAATTTGAATCTGCTAAAGAATTCTGGAATTTAAGGTTCAGTTGACAAAGTCAGCTCTTAGCTCAAAATTGGACTGCATCATTCTGCCATCTCTGATTTTATTATTTGTTGAGCACCAACAGTGTGCTTTGTGTTCTACAAACATATACAGAAACATGGTCCTACCTCAAGGCGTTTGTTACTGTCTAGTACAAACACAGGCAAAGCAGGTCAGCCACATGCTAGTACTGTAGTAAGATGGGCATTGCTACGACTTTAAACTGGAGTAAGGATTTTGCAGAGGTCAATTTTGAAAACCTTTGTGAAAAAATTGTGTTTTGATGTAGGTTTTGGAGGAAGGAAGAGGTGGTTTGGTGTATGAGGATTGTGAGACTGGTCCAAGTAAAACGGAAGATGAGTTAGTAGGGGAATATTAGTTTTAATCTTCTCATTAAAAATTAACCATTATATTGAACTTGTGTAAATTCTGAAACTCTTTTAATTTGGTTTTGTTCCATCTCAGTTATGCTGATCAGGGTATCATCATGCAGTTTAAAGCCTACATTTTTGAAAGTGACCAGTGATTTTGTGTGCTGAACTAGAGACACCTTTCAAGGGCCTGATTTTCAGACAGTGAATGCGCCGCACTTTCTGAATATCAGCCCTTTTTAAGATTTCTTAAATTGGACATCCAAAAATTAAGGCGTTGAAGTCATTATTCACTTAAATAACTCTTTATAATAATAAATAAAATATTAACCCTAAATATTTTAGAATTTATTTCCTCTTCAACAGTAGGGACTGTGTTTGCATATATCTGGAATTCAGGTAATTTTTAGGTTAGAGGTCTCTCTCTGTAAATGAATGGCTCATTATGTCCAGTTTAATTCCAAAACTCTACTGTTTTCCAGATTCAGCAATATCCAGTCTTCAAACTTCAGCATACTTCTAGAATACCACTACTGCCTGTGCTCAGCTATCTCAGATGAAGTGACATTAAAGTTAAATATCAGGGATATCAAATATGGGACTAAGGAATCTGTGGAGTTGTTGCTGAGAGATTGGCATGTAAGCTTAAAAATAGTTTATATTTCTGGCAACTGTTCTCCAATTTAAACTGGTGGTAGTTGCCCTCTTGGATACAGCCTTAGATCTAACTCCATCCAGCATGGACTCTCGTAGCTGGAGGCAATTTGATATTTATGCAAAGGAGGGTGGGTTTCAGGTTGAACCTGTATCTTTATAAAAGACCTTGCTATCACCATGTTCATCTTCTCATTTTGCTGTAGATATGTGTATGCCTCATATAGCTAAAATACACTTCAGACTGCAATAAAGGTGAGACAAGGTAGGTGAGGTAATAGCTTTTATTGGACCAACCTCTACTGGTGGAAAGGTACAGAGCTCTGTGTAGCTCTAAAGCTTGTACCTCTTCCACCAGTTGAAGGTCCAATAAAAGCCATCACCTTGCCTACCTTGCCTCTCTCATATCTGGAACCAACATGCTATAACAACACTACAAACAACTATGGAATGAAAATGTTATTTATGACCACCCAGCAGTTTGTCACTGTACAGCAAGGAGAAACATATAGAGTGATGAAGGACTAACCCCCTTTCTGAAGCTGGTTAATTTTGCTCATTGAAATAAATGATCAAAGGCTGTTGTACTCATGCTATGCACACTGTGCTAAATGTGACCATGTGATTGTGACCATCATCTTTCACTAAAATGGACCCTGCCAGTATGGACAATGTTTACAATAATACACCTTATGCTGCATTTCTTTCCTCCCTCCATCTTTTTTTCAGTATCTCTTTTCTGGTTACAGTTTCCCAGAGTTTCATAAAACACTCTGGTTTGGCTCTGGCCTGGATTCAGTGAGGCTTTTTTTTGTTGGATCCAGTGAGAGTGATTTCACTCTTAAGTTTCAATTTCATTTGAACCCAAGAACTCCAAAGCAAAACTCAGTCCAAACCACTGAGTTTCATTTGATTGTGAGTCCAGATCCTATGAAAGTGATGAGTTTTTGCAGGATTTTGAGCAAAAGCCATGAGCCAAGATACCTTCTCCATGACAGGCTCTGAATACTCCCCCTTCTCCCCCATTTATCTCTCTCTCTCTCTCTTCTGATGATGTGATTGTCTGTGACCTCCTCTCTTCTGTCATTGTCTTCGGGGACAGTTGACTAGCCTCCTTTCCTCCTGTAGTATACGAGGGCCAGCAATATCAGCCCACTCCCTGCCTCAAATTCACAAATACTTCACGCAGGACAGCAGGTGGTCTGCTGTGCCTCCTGTCACAATTCTGCAGCAGCAGGACTCTAAATGTAGAAGCCGTCTGCCACCTCCTGCTAGTCCCCGAGAGTAATACTCAGCAGCCCTTCTTTCTCCTCCTCCCCAATATGCACATATCCTTATGGTCCTCGTTGCGGATGAGTTGACCTGTCTGATTACATTTTGTGCTTACCTCCCATTTTGCGACTGGTTATTACAGCACATATGGGGCTCAACATTACAGTCCTTAGACAGGCAATTCTCCAATTAGAATCAGGGAGAATTTTGCCTGCATTAGAAGTGCAGGATGGGGCAACATGTTGTGTAAAATCACACTGTTCTTGAAGACATCAGTAATAATAACCCATAACGTGGATTGAAAATTGAAATTTAGCCTTTACTCTGAGTTTCTTGGATTTTGTCAGTTTCATCTGGCCCCTTGGTGTATTGTTAACACAGATTTACTATTATAATGTATTATTGGGCTTTTGATTTTTGGTTTTAACTGATAAACAGCAATAAAACATACCTGATATAAAAAAAATCCATGTTTATCCAATAAACACCAGAAAAACACCGGAAATTGTTATTGGTATTTAAGAGATTGTCTATACAGAGCAGTAATGCAGACTGGAGGTGTGATTTCTAAAGTACACTAAGGGTATGTCTACACCCAGCCGCTAGTTTGGCGGCTGGCAATCGAAGTTCTGGGTTCGACTTATTGCGTCTTGTCTGGACGCGATAAGTCGAACCAGGAAGTGCTCGCCGTTGACTGCGGTACTCCAGCTAGACGAGAGGAGTACGGCGGAGTCGACGGGGGAGCCTGCCTGCCGCGTGTGGACCGAGGTAAGTTCGAACTAAGGTACTTCGAACTTCAGCTACGTTATTCACGTAGCTGAAGTTGCGTACCTTAGTTCGATTTGGGGGTTTAGTGTAGACCAAGCCTAAGTGTTGCTCATTAATTGGACCATGTTGACCCTGCTGGTGCACACTAAAGGTTCCCTAGGGTGCATAAATGTAGTGCTGTTTGAAACAGTGATGTGTTAAAGTGCACTAGGGAACATATAGTATATAGTAACAAAGTTGTGAAACCCCTTGATTTTTGGACATCTACATACAATTCAAAAATTGCAAAAAGTAATCCTAAAAAAATGAACTTAATAAATCCCCCAAACCAGAAGTCCTGTGTATTAATTCTGTGGTGCCATAGGTGCCCAGGGCACTTTATAGGCTTTTCGGAAACTAACGCCGTCCCCAAGGAGTTTATGATCTAAGAACTTAATTCAGAAATGATTTATCCTGACTCAGACAAGTACTGTGGTCTCTTTGAGTCAATGGCCTAAGGGTCTGTCTACATGAACAATTGTTCATAGTAAACTGGGGTGTGAACCTACCCCGCACTAGCCTGCTGAGGACTAACTGTGTGGACTCTGGTGACATGCATTCACTGTTTATTAATGCGCTTTGATCTAATCCTCTTTGAAATGGGACTTGATCAACGCTTATCAATGAACTATTAATTTGCTTCAGCAGGGTCCACTCAAACAGTTATTCCATGGCAGATTGGTATGGGGTAGATTCACGCCCCAGCTTGCTGTGAATTAAGGGCTGGCCTATGCCTAAAGTAGACAGTTAGGTCAACCTAGCTATATCACTCAGGGGTGTGAAAAATTCACACCTTATGATACTCAGTTAAGCCGACCTAAGTCCCAGTGTAGACAGTGCTAGGTCAATGAACGATTTACTGCAGTGATGGAAGAACCCCCTCCATCACTGTAGTGATTGTCTACACTATAGCAGTGCTTCTAGTGTAGACATACCCTAAGTGTTTGTGTAGACAAACCCTCAATGCATGAGTTAGGATTACTCACAGAAGTAACAGTTTGCAAGATCAGGCGCTATAATAGGCATAATTCATACAAAGGGTGGGGGATGGGATGCAGTGGAAGTAACTTGATTTTGCTCTGTTTATGTTTGGCCTATATCTTCTGGGTTCATGTTCTAAAAAATAATTGATCACCAACTGAATTTTCTACATATTTTTATGTCAGTCAGTATTACACATCTCAATTCCCTTTCACTTTGGGCAGGATTTTATTGAAGAAAGGGGAGTCACAGCTCAACTAGAAACTGCTTTTCAAATATGTGAAGACATGAAAAACAAAAACATAAGCACGAATGTCTTAGGTAAGTGCATGGAAATAACATAATACTTTAATAAGAGTTGTGCTTTAAACTGATCATTATTAATGTTTTAAATTCCTGATACTTTTATTTTCTAAAAAAACAACGAGGAGTCCGGTGGCACCTTAAAGACTAACAGATTTATTTAGGCCTAAGCTTTCATGGGTAAAAAACCTTCCATGCATCTGAAGAAGTGGGTTTTTTACCCACGAAAGCTTATGCCCAAATAAATCTGTTAGTCTTTAAGGTGGCACCGGACTCCTCCTTGTTTTTGTGGATACAGACTAACACGGCTACCCCTCTTTTATTTTCTGCAGAATGTTGGTTTTGTTTAGTTGGTTTATGTTTTTCCAAACAGTTAATGATATTCCCCTTCAGCACCCAAATGAGGAAGGATTCACTTCTCTATTTTGGCAGTTTCCAAGCAATTGAGAAATATGCTTAATATTATTTTGAAATTATTAATGTGAATCAGTGTCTATTTCTAACATTTGTTTTATCATGTATTTAATATTCTAGTTGGTGATCCTCCAGACACTAGTAAACTATTTAAGATGGTAGACTCTAAGATTTCTATGTGCAGAGAATATATTTACAATGTAAACACTGTCCTACAAAAAGTTCTATGTTCTTGGGCTACTTATATGGAGAACATTCATTTACTGAAGACATGGTTGGATGAAACACGAAAAGGACATCTTAAAAAGGTATTTGATTGAATGTCTCTTTGTGATTAAGCATAAAGATACTCGTTTACCTTTTTAAAGCACTTTGAAGTCTATGGATGAAAAGCACTATAAGTGCAAATTATTATTATTGTTTTGGGAAATATATTAAAGAACTGCATGGTGTGTCTTTAATCCTTTCAATGCATCTCTATAGGTCCCCACTGAGATTCTGGCAGACTGGAACTCAGTGCATGGTTCCTTAAATGAAGCTGGAAACTTCTTAATTGAAGTCAGCAATGAGCAAGTGGGATCAGATATTTCTAAAGAACTGAAAAAACTGAACACAAGATGGGCTAAATTTATAAAGAGAACACAGTTTGTAAGTAACTGCAGCTCTGTTTTCCTTTCATGTGATCATTTTGTTATGTAGATTTCAAAAGCACAGCTGTATTTTTAACAGTATAATGATCAATTGTTATTTATAGATCAATAATCTTCCATACAATTCAGTGTTATCCATTTTGGAGCAGGTAAAGCAAGCAATACACACAGGTTCCCAGTTGTAACTGTCACTGCCTCTTTGTGTAAAAGTCCTCTGTTAGCACTGAATGCAATGGTGTATATGGCTGACAATATACGAGCGCCCCTTGTTTCAGTTTTCTAGATGAGCCCTTAAAAAGTGTATTTATTAATGATACTGTTGTGCCAATAAATGATCAAAAATAAATGATAATATAAAATGCTATGCAACATTTTCACAGGAGATGAGATTACTGAGAATGCAAGAAGAGCAAAAGAAGTCAGTTGTTGACAGTAATGGAAATTCTCAGTCTCCTGCCGAGGCAGTGCCAAATGCACTCAGTGTTACAGCAGATATATCAACGGAGGCTAGTAAGAAACACATTCAGAATGCAGAGGTAAAAAGTTCTCCTATATTCTAATCTGAATATCAGCACTTAAATTTGGGTAGTTTTATCTATTGAATATACAGCCCCACTTTTTTGGGCACTGCATCTCCACTTCAGTCCCAGTTTCCACCTATGCTCCTCGGGTTGTATGTGATGGTCCCCAGGGGTACCCAGGGCTGTGAGGCACCTCACCACTACCTGCTCTTAGTGTGAAGTAGTCTTGTCTCTGCCTGCTGTAGATCAGCTCCCTGAAACCGTATGTGGCAGCACAAGCATGGCCTTTCAGGTGTCCACAGGTCTCACTCTCTCTGTACAGGAAGCGATAGGCACACAGTAACCCCTGAGTACTCAGAGTTCTCTGCAGTGTTCAGCCCCTGTTCCCCAGAACACTTACAAAATTACAGGCCTGCTATTCCCACAGGAACAGAACTCACCGGCCTATAAGATTCAACTCAGGACCAGCACTTTGCTTATCACCACAGCACTTAGATATAATTATAGTGAAAACAAGAATAAGTTTACCACAGAATAGCGATTCAAGTAATAGTGAGTAAGAATATTGGAAACAAATGGGTACATATTAAACAAAATCATAACATGCTTTCTAGAGCCTATACTTAACTGACAAGTTACTCTTCTTTTGACAAGAGAGTATCTGAACCAAAGTTCTCTCCAGAATTCTCAACCAAGCCTGGTTGAGACCCATCTTTCACGAAGCAAATGTGATGTCCCACACTCAAGATAAGATTCTCTTCTCCCGCTGCATTTATTTTCCTGTTAGATTCTTTCTTACAATCCTTCATTTGCATTCAGTTCAGACTGGTGAGAGGATCCACTGTGAACAAGAAAATACTCAATTTACATGTAAACAGGTAGCCTGTCTGACAGAAAACCTGTTTTTCACCTTTTCTGGTGACTAGTACCTTGATACAGACTTTAAGAACATGTTTTCAGTTTATACAGAACACCTGTACATAAATTTCACAATGATATTGATGACCAGAGTGACACCACCTTTCATTTGAGACCTCACATGTCATTCTTTGGTGAACCAGAATGTGCATACCAGAATCAGGAGATTCCTGTAACCCCATTGCGCTCCCTTGTCAGTTTGCATTAAGAAGTTCTTGGGTCACAGAGTGAAAGCCAGAAAGTAACCCAATGGCTGAGTAAATGCTGGAAATGTAGGTTGGGGGGGGGGGGGGAAGGAATTCTGAGCGTTTTACAAATACTAACTTTGCTAAGAGTCTAAGTGTTCCATGTTCTCAGCTTAGAGAAAAGGATGCAGATGTAACTGAACAGGCCACTGAGCTTCTGCCCAGAGTGGAGAAAATGGAAGAGCTTCTCAAAGGAGTAGAAAACTGGGCCACAGAAACAGAATGCCTTCTTGAGACGATCAAACATGAAGGATGCGTGGGAAGCTCAACAGAACAATCTTTACAGGTAGAAATGCAAATATAAAGTTTAAAATATCTACCCATTCATCAGATTCTCAGACCTGAGTTATGAATTCAATGGCTTGTGTTAAATGAAGCAGGAATGAGAATGGAGTTTGTATTAATAAATGGCTAACTAAGGGAAGGAGGTGCTGTAATATTGCTAGGACTAGGTTAGTTGTCTAAGATTGTTTTTCAGGATGGCTCCTGTCAGAGTCCTGAGTATCCCATCATGGTAACTGCATTTTCCCCCAAACATCGTCACTCCCAGATTTCAGTCACAGTCTAAAGAAGGATCTCAGTCCTATTCTTCAACTGGTTACAGTTGTGTGATAAAGGCGCTCCCGCCCCCTCAGTAATCCAGCAAACGCCCTGCTGACTAATACCCTGGAAATTAATGAAGTGAGGGTGTGATGAATGCGGGTGATAATATTTACTGCAGAGGCAATGCATTTATCCCCCGGGGAGGAAGCACTTTATCCCATCAGCTCTCCTTGGCTGGAGGGGGGACCTGTAGAGAGTTCTGGCTGGCATGTGAATCAGCTGCCTGCTATGTACTTTGTGCATCTGACCCTGTGGGAAATGGATTCAAACATCCACTCTGTAAAGAGGGAAGGAGGGAGGGATCTTTGTTTTTAGTCTCAGGGTTATTTTACTTAGAGATTGTGCACTCCTACTCTGGGTAAAGTCTACAGTATTAGGAGGTATAGGCATGTTAAAAGAATGTACATGAATTTTCAGAATGTGTGTGCATGTATATAAACTAAATCCCATTCTCAGTGTGACATTTGCTTGTTAAAAATGTGAAAGTGACAAAAAATGCTCTTAAATTTCTATGAGTTGTGTTTCAATAAGATTGTAACATAATGTCCCCCATGAGTATACAAGATCAAGTCCTTGCTTCACTTGCAGTACATAATAGAGACGTTTTTAATAAAGCATAGATTATCATCAGAGGAATGGTAATGGACAGTTTGAAAATGAGGTGAATATTCATAGATCAAAAGAGCTCTCAAAGACACACAGTGATAAATATCCAAACCCAGCGGTGTAAGCTGTGCTTTCAAAATATCCAAGCATGTTTTCTAAACAGCGGAGTGCACATTTGGGGCTCTATTCTGCAAGCAAATATACACACAAGTAACTTTGCTCATATGAGACTTTCTGTTTACTTCAGTGGGACTATTCACATGATACAGTTACTGCTGTGTGTACACATTTTCATGATCAGACAATGCACATGCAAATGTGTGCTTTGTATGTTCAGTTACTAGGTTGTATGTATACAAGCATATTTTAAAGATACTTTAAAATAGAAGGTTAGGCAAAGAAAAATAACATATAACAGTGATAGCAAGTACAATCACAGAAGTTAAGTACAAGTCAAATATGTGTATGGATGTCACAGGGTCCACTCACTGCTAGGGGCGTCTCTCCTGGCCACTTTAGGGATTAGCTCCTTCCAGGTGCTGTGCCCTCCTCTGGCGCTCTCTCCATCCTGTGGACCCTCTCGCTCCAAGAGCTGCAGCTTCCTCTTCGTGACTTGGCACTCCAGGCACGTCACTATCGTCCTCACCTTTCAGGGTATCGAAGTATTTCAGCACAAACTATCCCGGGCAGTCCAATCTCCACTTCCCCAGTGGCTGGTAGGGGAACCCGGGCCCGCCCTCTACCCCAGGTTCCATCTCAGGGGCCCTCTCTTCAGCAGCCAAGGTCTGTCTTGCTGCTTTTCCCCTGAGCCTTCGCTGTGTTTCTGGCTCTCCCCACACTCTGGGGTTGCCAGCCGCACAACTCCCTTCTCCCAGGGAATGACTGACTGCAGACTACTTCCCTGAGCCTCCAGCTGCTCTCAGCTCCTGGGCTTTACACAGTCGCCTCCTGTTCCCATCCAGCTGAGCCTCCTCTAATTAATCCCTGCTCCCTGGCTCTTCCTTCAGGTGCAGCCTGGACAGTTAATTGGCCTACCTAGCCATCTTGACCCCTTCAGGTCTTGTGTGGGGTGGATACCGCATCACAATGGAATTAGATGGCTTGACAACTTGTTTTCTCTGCTTTCTTTTTTGGTTGGCGCCAGACCCACTCCCCCAGATGTTGATACTTTGGACTACAAGATAATGACCTGTAATTGCAAAGCATGGTCCATATGTAACCAAATATTGCCTACTTTTCAGCAATCCTTGCCTTTCAATTCAGTTCCTAAAGCTAAATGATATAAATAATAATATTTAATATTGAAGACTTCTGTTGTGTTTCATCTAAACAGATCCTAATTGCCAGAAGGACCTTGTGCCAAGAACAAGTTGCTGCAGCAGAAGAAATCTTGCAAGTTTTGACACGTAATATTTCAAGCCAGGTGTCCCTCCCGGATTTTGAGACAGCTGGGCTACCGACACGAATTAAAGAAGTCAGAGAGAGACTCCAGGTCTCTGTTCCCTATCACTATCATATTCAGTACACAGATATCCTTATCTGTAGTATTAAATGGTTAGAAAAACGTCTTTTAGGGTCCATGTAAAATATAAATATTTTTAAAATATTTGAGCGACTCTTCTCTTGTCAGGTGCAAAATGAGAAAAGATTTCAAAATTAATATCCAAAGCTGAGAAACTTGAGTCATGTTATAAAGGAATATTTTAATTGTTTTAACGATACTCATGCACACTCTACAAATTGTCTTTCTTCCTAGGCTGCCATGAATAACCTAGACCTTGTCTCACCCAAATCTGAAGAGACTCTGTCAAAAAAGGAGGTCATGATCAATTTTGAAAAATCCCAGAAGGAGCTTGAAACATCTATTTTAAAAGCTATGCAACTCATTAGCCAAAAAGTGAGCCCTGATGAGCACATTTCAAAAAATGAGGTGGGTTCAAATATTTACTTCCTACCTGTGTCATATGAAGCTTTTGACTATCAGAGCACATTATTTCATAGTGAGATTTTGTGACTAAAAAAAATCTTACACAAGTGGTCCCCAAATTTTTCAGGGTCATCCCTCCCTTACCCATCTACCCCCCCTCGCACTCTGAGCCGGGGCCGGGAGTGTGGCTGCGGTTCCTGGGGTGGGGAAACGCAGACATGGGTAAGGGGGCTGAGGCTGGTGCCTCAGCTGGGGGCAGGGCTGGGTCTGGGAATAGAGCTGCAGCCAGAGGCCAGGGCCAGGTGTGGAGCCACGGTCGGGGGGCTGGAGGTGAGGCTGGGCATGGGACCAGGAGCTGGCGCCAGGGTTGTTTTATCATTATTAACATACCTGAACTTTCTGTAGAAATGTTACTCACAACCTGGATTTTTATGTTATTATCTGAGTGTATTTTGTTTAAATCCCCAAAATGGTAACCTCACATTATAAAATCTTGATCCTAAAATAAGGCTGTCTCATTTTTTCCATTGAAAGGATATCCTGAACTTTGTTTGTCCATGCCACTAATGCTAGGAGGTCTCTCCTTTTCCAGCAATGCCCTATTAAACATCTGGCTATTAGTCGTAAGTGCATTATCAAAACTTTGAAAGTTGACTGACTAAGTGGCCATCAGACACACAAGTATGCCCTCGGGTGGTGATGGCTCTCCCGTCCTCGCCTCCGCCTGCAGACCCATTACGGCTCCTTTCTCTCGGTGTCTGCTTCGTGGCACAGCCCTCTGTCTGTGTCACCATCCGGTTCCGCCCCCCGCCGGACTCCCCCACCAAGAGTCCAGCCACTCCTCACAGCAACTTGGCAGTCCCCAGCCAGGCCACTCCTTCAACGGCTAGTTAGGGTGGGGGGAGCACCCAGGCCTGCCCACTACTCTGGGCCCCGGCTCAGGGACCCTGTAAACAACAGCTTCCTGCTGCCTCTTCCTTCCAGCTCACTGTCTCTATTCCCTGGGCCACTTCCCCGCAGTGTCAGTTCCTTCTGCTCCTGCCTCTGGCTCCAGCTCCTTTTCCCTCTTCCCAGGGCCTCGAGCCTGTAAGCTCTCCCTAGCTCCCCCGGTTCCTGCTAGCACCTGCCCTTCCCCAGGTGCTGATCCCGCTGTAACCCTCTAGGAAGCCAATCTTTTCCCTAGGGCTCCTTGCAGCAGACTAACTCCCTCTGGTCTGCAGCTTCCTTTTATATGGGCCGACTGGGCCCTGATTGGCTAGTCCATCTGCCGCCCTAACTGTCTGCAGCCCCCGCCCTAATTGGCTGTTTCCCCTGCAGCCCCTCCTTTGACTGGCTGTTGCTCAGCCTCCCTAGGCTGGTTTTAACCCCCTCAAGGCCAGTGCGGGCCAGGCGCCCCGTCACAAAGTCACAGACCCCTCCCTTGCTTCCTGTCACATATAGGAGGTGTGCCCCATTGTCTGGGCATAAGGAGGGAGAATAGCCACTGATCCATTTTGTCCACTCCCCCTTGGTACAAAATGTTCCGGTGAAAGGTGTTGTGGGAGCTGTACCTGCACTTTCCCAAGCGCAGGGGCTGCAGTTGTCCTTGGCTCATTTTCAGACACAGAAAGTGCAGCAGTGCAATTGTACTCTGGCCCGCCTATGCTTCCACACAAGGGCCTGGGACAATCTGGCCTTTTGCCATTGCAGCCCAATAATAAGGACCTTGCCATTCATTATTGTATAGTTTTGATATGATAATGAAATTGTTTTACGATATACATAAGCGAAGGTCAATTCTGTTTTGTTTTTTTCAGGAAGCTTTTAGCATTTTGGACACAGGAATTCTTGAAAATTTTTTGAAAGCAGCTGACCAATTGAAAAATATTTCACCAGCTCATGAAAAGTTAGCAGTGGAGGAAAGATGCAAAGATGTTCGTGAAAGATGGGAGGTGAGAAAATATACATAAGAGAATGAGTTGCTTTTTCTTATCAGACCTGGTCTCTTGAAAAACAAATTTTTGTATTTGCTTTGTAGCCCATTGTCACCCCATGACCATCACACTGAGACAGTGCTTTCTGTACTTTGCAGGCAGTTCATCGTGAAATCATATCATGTATTCAGTTCATAATGGAAATTGAAATAGGGAAATTTAATGCAACTTTTTCAAAACTCAGTAAGCAAATAAATAAAGAGAAGAAACTCCTTAGCATGGGTAAAACCAAGGGACTTATAAAAGAACACGAGGTACTGTATAAAAACGCTATCCTCAACTTCTCTGCTTGGTGACTGTATTGTATATCCTTCTGCATTTTATCATTAAATTTTCTTTCTAACTTCAGACTGTTCCTTCACTGCATGAAGCAGGCTTTCAAAGAGTCACCTCCTTGGCAGTAGAATGCTACATTTTTTCAGTTTATACCTTACTTTATAATCATCTCTTACAGCTGGTTTTATTTTTAATCCTTAATTACTCAAAATGTAATAATTGAAAAAACAAACTTGATGTGCACTGTAGCTCCCATTCAATGTAGTAGTTGCATGGCTAAGGTCCTATCCATAGAGCTAACTCTACCAATAATGGTTGTACAGAAGCCCCCGTTTAACTCCTTGTTTGTGTTGCACACAAACTAGTCACGTGACTTTAAGTGGTGCTTTATGGTTGATAGGCCTGTGCTAGTCCTCAGCCCAGGGGTAAATTTCACACAGTGTGTAATAAACTTTGGTTTACATTTAACATTTTTACTCATGTCTCTTTCTCAGTCATCTCTTCTTTAATTTTCTTTTCACCTTAGGTGAACCTAGCCATCACTGTATTCCCCAAGATCTGCCCTTTTTTTTTTTTTTTTTTTAAATATTTCTTTTCT